GTCACGTCGGGATGCCGGTTTTTAAACAAGCCTTTTCCCGGTCGTCGCTTGATCAGTATGAATTTTTCCTACTGAGTTTCGATTTGCATACAAATTCAATGAGATTTTGTAGAAAACATGTATAAAAATATTCGTTCGTCTACCCATTTGGCAACAAAATGCGTCTTCCTTAAATTCTACACTGGGTAAGGAGTATATTCCTGTTTTAAAAAAGTTTCATTATTCGAGATTTTTCAAGATCATGCGATGTCCATTCAGAAAATCGTAAAGTATAGAGCATGGTTTATATCTACTGCAAATTTTTATGAACCCAATATAGTATCTTTCGAATATTGTATAGAAATGCATGATTTTCAGTACGCGGCAAATAGACAGCTTGTAGTTTGGAAACCCTGAATGCAGGTGAAGCATCAAGTTGGGTTCAAAATTTTTCAAATATTAAAACAGGTTCTAAAACTGTTAGCATAAAATTTGAAGACATAATTCTCTTACAACAAGTGAGAGGCCAAATATTCATTTTCATATTTTCTCTAAAATATGACTGAATTTGTGTAGTCTTCGAAAAGCAACGGAAAAATTTCCTTCCAATTAAGTAGTTATTTGTACATAATGTGGTTTTGAAACCCTGAATGCAAGTGTAACAGCAGGTCGAGTTAAAAATTATTCGGGAATTGGAAAAGTATTTTAAAACCGAATTATACTCTTCTTTTGAGTATGAAATTGAAAGAAGACATAATTTTCTACCGAATAATTAAAATAATGAATATTTTTATGCATGTTTTCCATGAAATATAATTTAATTTTCAAGAGCATCGAAAATCGATGAGAAAATTGCATGCTACTTAATTAGTCATTTTTTGCAGAGTATAGATCTTGTATGCAGCCGAAAATAAGTTCTTTCGAAAGCCGACATCCTGAGGTAACTGGATTTATGCTGCATCCTGATTAGTTTTACAACACTACTTTATTTGTCTTTTCGAAACGAGAACGCATTTCGAAATTTTGGTTGACATTTCATGAGTTAGCACATCTACTGTGATTCGCTAACAACTAGTAAGAGACCAAATATTCATTTTCATATTTTCTCTAAAGTATGACTGAATTTATATAGTCTTCCAAAAGCAACGGAAAAATTTCCTTCCAATTTAGTAGTTATTTGTACATAATGTAGATTTTGCAGGCGATTGAAGAGGAACCCGTTCAGAAGCTGACATCCTGATGTGTCCTAGATATTTAGAGATTGTTCTGTAAGATAGTCAATTTTGCAACGCCGCTTAAGTTATATTTTCAAAATCAAAACGCATTTCAACATTCCGGTTAACATTTCAATAGATAGCCCGTCTACTGTACATGCGTCCAATCCCAGCATCAGATGACTAACGGGCTCGGACGGTGGACCTGCGCGTGAAAGAGGGATGAGAGGGTAGATGCGATGCTGCATAATCCATTCCCACGACATTTATACAGTTAGTGACCTAACTCATGAAATGTGTCGGAATTTACGAATGATTGCCAATCACTCGCAAACCGACACCATTTCATGAGTCCAATGTGTATGTTAATTAAGTACAAGTTTGAAAGAATTAAAAGCATAAAACAATATTGAAGGCAGTGTTGCGTTGTTTAGAAATGTCAATTTTTTCAGAAAAGCGCAATATCCCGAAAACGTCAGAAATAGCTATAATTTTGTGCGCGTAGTTTTTAAATGTGTAGGATGTATTTTCATAACAAAAGCGTAATAAATATGAAAGAAGAAGTAAACTAACGTCCGAAAGTATTGTTTTTAGAAAGTTAACATCAAAATATCGTTTAACAATTAGTGTGATTTCATATATGAAGGTTTGTCAACTGCATACATTCTGAGTGTAGATTCCAAAGCAGTTTCCCCGCGATTCGTGTTATCCTTGAACCTTTTGAGCTAAATGAGACGGAGTTCAATAAGAGAAACTGGATTTTGCTTGATTCCACCGGTGGGAGGTCTTAGGAGCAAAACTTCTCATAAGGTGACATGTTATGAGGCCGGTTATTGCCTAATAAATATAAATAGAACTGAAGGCGTGATCGCAAACATACCAGTTGTGTTTATAGAGAGAACTTTTCTTCCAATATTCGCACTTTTCGTTCGTTTTGGATTACTTCGAGTTGCAGATCGGCCTCAAAATGTTGCTGAATACTTCTTTATTTTTAGTGTCTCCCCCGATCCCATAAAGACAGATTCTGAATTACCGGTCTGTTGAGAATTTAGAATAAGATTATTCTTAAAGGCATTTATCGAATTAGTGAATGTTCGGGCTCTCCTTTTCACGAAAATGGTCGTTTGAGTCACACGTGAAGACTCATTCAAACATCAAACTTCATTTTCGAGAAAAATGGCTATCCACTACGAAAGTCTTTTATTTACTGCCAATGATGAATGCCCCCGGCTGGCAGAAACCAAAACACAGTATCGTTTTTTGACACTTTTAAAAATGTTGACTGTTCTGCATACTCGAAACACATCTGAAGACGACCTGGGAAACCAGTGTCAGAAATTTGCGGAACATAGTTTGCTCCATTTTCCAAGGGACTTATCAAAATTTTTCGTGAACTAAAAATTTTTTTTAAAAATCCGGAATGACAACTAACTGCATTTTCTGTTGTCCATATCTGCACGTCTGTTTCTCCAGTAATTGCCTCAGAGCAGTGGGTCATTTTTGCATAAACGTCCCGAGTTGAAAATTCATAAGTTGAACAGTATTTCTTGGAAATATGTTTAAATTCACGTGTGCATTAAAAATAGATGAAAAATATGCACATCATGTGAGTAGTGCAATTGGCAGAATCTCATTTACATGCATAGTTGTGACTATGTTCATAATAAAAATTCTATCATGCAACCGTATATGAACAGACCTTGAAGCATGCTTCTTGTCAATCAACGTTGCAGACATGCCTAAAAAATCATCTTCTTGTTGAGATATCATCATACGGTTTCGACCAGTATTTAATCATTTATGGCGGATATTGTATGCTAGAAGTTGAATGCTTTGCGTCTGTCCTGAGAACGTAATTAGTTGGTTTTGCTTTTGGTTGAAAATAATGAAATAAATTGGAAACATGCCGCTTCATTGAAGGGGCCTCAAAAAGTTCCTCTTGGTTCATTCGTGTCTGTCGCCCAGTGAATTCTAATTGCCTATTTGCGTCTGCTCTTGCCGATTTGCCCCATCTGTAGTGGATGTGTATCAACTGCGAGACGGAAGTGCGTAATTCCATTCTGTTTTGTCAGGCAGAATCTAAAACACTCAAAGAGGTTGGAACACCAAGGAAAATTTGAAATCGACGGCACAGGGGGGGGCGGAATGATTGATCATATCTTCTCTTCCGCTAACAGACGATCATAACCTGGAGGGACCTGAGACTAGAATCGGGATTAGTGACAACTGTCTGTTCCTACTAGCACGCGGAAGATTCGCTGAAACAAAATTCGCGGGCATTAGATCGGACTCAGGCAAGCGTTGTCTGATATGAGCATCCATAACAGATGCCACACTTGGGGGAGGGGTGTGGGGGCACACCTAGGTGTAGGCTCACGTTGCACCGGCCACCTGCGTCCAATCCCCGCACTAGGTGACTGACTGGAGAAGGCAGTGGACTGCTGCCGGCGGAAGGAAAACAGTGAGGTCGGCTCTGGAGACTCCGTCAACATACTGTTCAGCATATATTCCTCGCTATAGGCGATCTGACGCACATTAAAGTCATCACGGTGCATGAAAGGACGTAGTTTAGAAGATTGTTAATCGGCGAGATAATTAGGTTCTGCAAGGACAAGGACTTCATTTACCTGTGGCCTCTATGGCATTCCTGCGCCGTTCGGATTCGAGTCGTCCCACATCCTTGCTGTACGCCCTTGTGTGTGGCACGCGTAGAGGGGTTGTTTAGCTTTGTCAGCCACTGGGCCCAACATTGCTTCTTGTTTTTCTCTTGTGGGTGAGGGTGCAGGGGGTGTAGTAGATGCAAGTCTTTTCATTACAACGCGATTCACACGCAAGTCATCCTTCCTGTGTCCACTATGCCGCGAGGCACACGTAGTCCTCAGCGTCGCTTGAAATGTCCTATCTCAAGCAACTAGCAGGGCTGCTCTACAGGCCTCACCGAACGTGGTGATCGCATTGCTTGTTACCTACCCTTCACCTAACTCTCGTACAGTAGGTGGGCTAACTCATGAAATTTCAACCGAAATTCCGAAATGCCCTTTCGTTTCGAAAATGATAATTAAGTAGGATTGTAAAACGAATCCACATGAAGCACGGTTCTATTTTAATTAGTTACCTCAAGATTTTGGCTTTTGACCAAACCTCTTTACTGCGGTATGCAAAAAATGTACTCTGTAATTAATGCGTAATTAATGCGTTTTTCTCATTGATTTTCGACGCCCCTAAAACCCCAACTATCTTTCACGGAAAACATGCATAAAAATATTCATTCTTTTACTCATTCAGTAGAAAAGTACGTCTTCCTTCAATTTTACACTTGAGGGAAGGGTGTGATTTGGTTTTAAAAAGTTTCTAATTGTGAGATTTTTTAACACTGTGCAATGGCCGTTCACAAAACGCCATGTCTCTGCGTCTATCAATATACCTCAAATCCACTGCTGAATTCCATGAACCCCATATAGTCTTCTCTTAATACCGTAGAGAAAGGTATAGTTTCCCTTACGCGGAAAATATAAGGTCGAAGTCGACGGTCGAGCTGTCAGGCGATCCAAAAGTGGCCTTGAATATCTACAATGGGGGCGCAGTGCTCTCCCCGCACGGGGGTAGGAGTTGGAAAGGGTACCCCAAGCAAGTGCTTAGGGCACACTTTCCAGTGCCTGCACCGCTGTCGAACAAAGAACAAGCTGCCAAAACACGCCAGTCAGAAACAACACTAACAAACGTAGGCAAAATCACTTTAGCAGTCTGGAATGTCCATGCACTTTTAGGCGCACATGAGCCACTTAGCCAGAGGGGTCGATCACTCTGATGGCTCGTGAGTGCGCCTGACAGTTTAACCATCGTTGCCGACGATGTCCGCTGTATACTCCAAGGCATGGTGAAGCAGGAACGGTAACTTGCGAGCGAATTAGTTCATAGTGAGTGCGGGCTTGCACGGCACCTAACGCACACTCTCTCCCCCCAAACCTGGACCCGGTGTCAAGACAGAGTCAAGAAGACCGGAGGTGGAGAGGGCGCCGGTGGATGACACGGTCGAGCCCGCACCTTGGCGCTCCACTCCACACCACCTCGTCCACACAACAAATAACCAGGACTTTGACCAACAACAAAAGGGTGGCCGAAGCCGCATCTAGGCGTGCCGTTACACCTGGCTCTGATCCCACATAATGGGAGTGTCATAAATGTTATATTAAGAAGGAGCCATTGCAGCCTCTTAGACCATCAGTTGACCGTTCCACACACATGCATAACACTGGGCCGACTTCAAGGTCCAAGTTATCCCCGTCAGTTGGCAACCTTCAGAGCTCCGGCTTTTGGTGCACCGTGAATGCTACAAACGCGTCGGATTCTTTAAAGCGAGGAAAACGCGCTGACTCGTCGACCTCACTCTTCCTTCCCATTCTCAGGCTCCAGTCACTGTCCGAGCCGGTCACCAAAACTGGTGGGGGGATTGCGATCACCACTGATTCGGTTGCAGACGACTAAACCATGATCCCGCCAGATACTGACACCACCGCCGGAGAATGGGTGCGGTGGCTGATACATTTAGTGACCTTGTCTACGTGCGCCACATGCACGACCTGCCCCTACCCAAAAACAAGCACCAGGATTTCACACAACGGGAAATGAGTGCCGTAGCTCACGTAAAGAAGGGGCCGTTTCAGCCTGGCTCTTAGCCCGCCAGCCCGCCACTCCACACATACACACACAACCGGGCAGACTGCGTGCGCTGCGTTGAGGCGTCAGTCAGCAACCTTCCAAGCCGCAGTCCTTGACGCTTCGTGATAATCTCAGACTCGGATCACACATGCAGCAAAGATGCCGCGTGGAGACGGAGCTGAGACGCACACTTCCCGTTGGCGTGGGAGGTGGCAGTTGGATGCTTATGGTGGATGAAGATGCCGTGTGATACAGGTGGGAAAGATACGATGATGCGGTTTAGCCGGCGGTCGTCTGCCGCAGGTATTTGCGAATGCGCATGTGGTCTAATAGACCCATGCGGTGGATAAGTGTGCAAGTGCAATGGGGACAATGGAGGCGGATGCGGTGAGTGTAGATTGGTGCTCCAGGCACTGGTTCGCCAGTCTCTGTGCGATGGATTCGCAAATGACCGACCAGGCCGATGCGAGGAGGGAATGTGTGGACACAGTGTGGACATGAGAAGTCGGTGGTGGTGGTGGTGGTGGTGGTGGTGGTGGTGGTGGCTGACCCGACCGACCAGCGTGCCTAAAACAATGCAGGCATCACCGACCGCCCTTTCGTCTAGACAACGATGATTCAATTAAGTGGAAGCAGAATATGCCTCCTCAGGATGCCACAGTCCAAAGAAAGACAACAATCAGTTGGAGCCGCTAATGCCACTGAAGTTACACGATAAGGAAGCCGCCCGTCGTCTCGCGTGGAATCAACTGTCCACTTATCAGGATGCGGCTTCCGTTTCTCGGCGATATCCAACTTGGTCCGAATCCGCGCACAAACCTGCATATAACGTCTCCCACCTCACTCACAGGAGTGCTCAAGTATACGCATCACCTACTGATAGTCATTTATCAGCCTTCTCTGCCGAAATCCTACTGTAGAGGCAGACGCCATCAATCAGACTGCTGTCTGATTCCAAACCCAAACAGCAGACCGTCGGGGGACGCTGTAGAAGACAGGTGGGAGTATATAGAAAATTACCTCTAACCGTCTCCTGGCACACTGTGAAGGTGCGTGGCTTGGGTGGCCGAGGTGGGGGAGAGCGGGATAGGGGCAGATCGCAGCTACCCCGACCCCATCCACGCAAGACTCAAAACACCCCTGACACAACTCCACACGCACACACACACACATACGCACCCACATTGGTTCTCCAGACGTAGGGGGGAGAAGGGCGCCGTTGGATGCTGTTTTTTCCTTTTCCTCGCTGTTTCCTTCTAGACTGATGTATTTCGTGGCTGAAGAAGGGGGCGGGAGGAGAAGAAGAACCTTCGCTATCACCGTGCGCACGCGGACAGCGTTTTGAGGTTCAGAGGACGCAGCAGAGGGTTTGTAGTGGTCGGGCTGCCGACTACCTGCCGGAAAATACACGAACACCGTGGGGAGGGTAGCCGGCACCCAGATGGGGTGAGGTACGACAGGGTTGATCGAATCGAGTTATTTTGTGGTGGAGAAGTAGCCAGAGTTTTTGTAACCAAGTGCGGCTTTCGATGGAGGGAGAGGGAGTCGGTTGCTGAAACAAGAGTTTCACTCATTGCAGACAGCAGCAGATAGTGTGTGCTGAATGAATAGCATGCATTTGCCAAGCAACCACAGGTCTACGAAAGCTAATAGTCCTAGCACCTATCGGTGAAATCAGTATCTGGCGGGATCATGGTTTAGTCGTCTGCAACCGAGTCAATGGTGATCATAATCCCCCCACCAGTGTTGGTGATCGACGTACTATTTGATCGGCTGTCTAGCTCATCAGTGCCGCTGCTGGAAGCAGCGTCTTGGCACTCAAGAGAGGGGCAGGATTTCACTGCGTTTGCTGATGGGCTGCAGGCTGGCGAACCATCAGCCAAAAACTCATGACTAATGCGCTGCCACCTCTTGCGAGGGGTTCGGTCCCGTCTACCTTGACGGCGTGATCGGATCCCTTCGAGTGAGTTGCAACTTGAAAGTCGCTGTCACTCCTCCTCCTCCTCCTCCTCGCCTCTGAGGTGTGTTCACCCCACTGCGTCTGCAGTAGGTTTCCCCTTTGGCCGCAGATACACTAAATGCGATCGTGGGCGGCCCGACAACTGCATCTCATGCCAACTCCGAAAATGATCTCCGAGGAGAGTCTGAGACGTCAGACAGACAAGATTTTGATCAGGAGAAGAAGCGATCGCTGGAACAAGGGCTTTATTCGTCTGACGTTTCGGATTCTCACTTGAATCCATCATCAGAGACAGTAGCAGAAAAGGGGTGACTCGGGCACAGGAAGCTGCAGTATTTATAGGATGCAGTCGCTATGCTACCGCATACCTATAGCAATTAACCGCGTTCCCTTCATGAAGGATCGTTGCCCGCTGGTGCGCTTATTGCTTGCTGGCCGGCATGCAAATTGTTAATTACCAAAATGTCATCACCCGTGTTGGATGCTGGCGTGATGATTGCTCGGCTATCTGGCTCTCCGGCTTGCGCGCGCTCCGAGACAAGATTTTCCTTCCAACGATGGAGTCTTCTCCATAACCGCTTCCTGAAACTCTGCCAACCATTGCATCCAATCGCAGCATCAAATGGCTGGCAAGCTCGGTTAGTCAGCAGGTACACTGGAAAGGGAAGACTCTATCCTCACGCCACACCGGTGTATTCCTGACTACAGTAAGTCTGACGCGCTCAAAGTCCTGGCTCCGAAGGCTGCCGACTGACAGGATGATTCAGATCTCGCAGTCATTCCGGTAGGGACCCCTAAAACGGGTCACGCGGTAGATGAGCTGGATCAACACTGGGGCTAGGTCGGAGTTTGATAGGCGTTATCGAGTATGCGCACCCAGTTGCCGTCCCACGTCGCCCCCATTTTCTTAGTGTGTAAACTTCTGGTCAGTGCCCGTTTTGGACGGCAGGCTGTGGTGGTAGGCCTAGGTGTGGGTTTTCATCCTATCATCCACCTGCGCCATATCTCTCACTTCCGGTCTTTTTGACTCTCTCTTGACAACGGATCCAGGTGGGAGCCAAGGAGAGAGTGCGGTAGATGCTAAGCAAGTCCCTGTTCTCATCCTGCTGCGGAAAACACGGTTGACAGTCGAACTGATGGGTACCTGACTGGACCAGGGGTCGGATAGCAATGGCTTCTTCTTCGTGTGGAACCCGAGTCGCCTCCTTTGTTGGTTATGTGGAAGCCCGGTCTCTTGTGCGTGGTCCAGGTTGTGTGATGGACGCGTAGACGGGCCGTTAAGCTGCGTTAGTCACTGCGCTGCAAACCGCCTTCCGGTGGTCCTGACCCTGTCTTGTCACCGGAGCAGATGTAGCGCAGATCGGCTGTCAATATCAACTCCAGTGCGTGACCCATCTCATGAAATTTTGGCCTAAATTCTGGAATGCGTTTCCGATTAGGAAGGATTACTAAAGTAGGGTTGTAATATAGATTATCTTGCGAAAAAATCCTATAATATTTCGGGCTCGGCAGGATGTCGGCTTTGAATGCCCTTCTTTTTGACCTTCTGCAGGAACCACACTCAATAAAAATTGATTACTTATGTGGCATGCATTTTTCCTATTGAATTTCGATGGTCTTATAAATGCAAATATATTTTACGGAAAACGTGCACAAGGATATGCTTTCTTTTGCTCACTTTGTAGGTAATCACACTGTTTTCATATTTTATGCCCGAAGAAAGCGTATATTTAGGTTTTGAAAGTTTTTAATCATGAGATTTTTAAGACCGTGCGATGTCCATGTATGCAAGACCGCACATGTCCGTTTACTAATGCTCCTCATGAAATGTACAAAACAGTCCGGATCCATTGTAAGATTTCATGACCTCTATGTGGCATCTTCTTAAAGGCATAGGGAATACATGATTTTCCTTACGCGGAAAGCATGCACCCTGTAGACTGAAATTGCTAAACGCTGATGCAATGGCAGATCAGGCTAACAATTATTCGGAAATTGGGAGACTTTTTCAAAACCTAAATATGCACGTTCTTCGGATATAAACTATGAAAACATCATGAGTTTCTACCAAATGAGCAAAAGAAAGCATATTTTTGTGCACGATTTCTGAAAAAATATATTTGAATTTATAAGACCATCAAAAATAAATAGGAAAAATTCATGCTACGTGAGTGGTCATTTTTATCGAGTATGGTTTCTGCAAGAGATCAAAAAGAAGGGCATTCAAAAGCCGACATCTTGGCAAGTCCGAAATGTTATAGGGTTATGCTGCAAGACAATCAGTATAACAACCCTACTTTAGTAATCCTTCCTCATCGGAAACGCATTCCAGAATTTTGGCCAACATTTCATGAGATCGGTCACGCACTGTAGTTGACGCATGTGTCGCCCTCCTGCGTCCACAACGTTGCGGGACGCATCGTCGTTTGCGACACTCGAACTGGGCTGCTCCTGGTTTAGTCCTCCTATCCGCATTTGGCAGAGAGCAAGTAATCACGCGCAAGTCAACACCTATCCCAGTCAGACATGATGGACAAAATACTGGCGGGGAGCGGAGTGCAGACTACGCCGTCGTCCAACGTTGTCCCCCTCCTGGCTTTTTTTGCCCGAGGCAGACACTACTGATAAGCTCCTTCTATGAGCATCCTTTATCCGCATCTGTAGGCCTTACAACCACCTATGGCGTCCACTCCTTGGAGAATCTCGACGGCCCTCAGAATGAGGTCATCAACTCCTACCGATTGGCAAAGGATGCAAACACCCCCTGCGGCTTCTTCTTCCAGGCGCCCACCTCCGGTGTGCTCACAGTGGGCCTCTCGGAGACCCAGCTGCGTGAGGGATCTGACGGGGAATCAGCTTCGTTGTGCAGGCCGGCGGTCCAGGCGAGCGCAGGCGAGACCAGAATGACGGACCAACTGACGCGACGAGCCGAAAAACTGGCTGACTGCGAGTTGTTGTCTGAAAAAAACCAGACCTCAGCACCGGCGGCTGGCTTGGCAATATCCTCCCACTCGAACGCACGCTCAGTGTGTAAGTTTTTCCAACTCCGCCAGCGTGGTCTCCTTCTTTCACTTCCCGGTTGCATCTACTTTTCTCCTCGAGGGAGGTGGCGCGATGCGCTAATCAATGAACGACCCACCAGCCTCAAAAAAATCGATACTTGGCGAGGTGCGACTTAACTGATGTAAAGTGCCTAAATAAACGAAAAATAATTAATCAATCAGAAACCAGGTCAGATGTGGTTATGCAGCTGCACCTAAGGTAAATAAATCTCAGCTGCCTGTAATACGGACCGGTGGCAATAGGCGTTTTTACATTTGGGGCCGGGTAACGCACAGACGACGAGGTCAAGTAGTTGTGCGCAAAAGAAAAGCTATTGGGAATGCGTAGTTGTACTTTGAGTGGTTGAGAAATGGTTGTACTAACCTCTAACTCTGACCCCAAACATTAACAGTATTATGTCTGCCAGGTGCGGCTACATAACCACATCGTGCCGGACACCAATCCAAAGGAATCCACCAAGACACAAAAACTAATAATAATCGCCCGCTAGTTAGCTGGTTAGAAATAAAACGATTTTCATAATAAAAGCGGAAATGCTGAAAAGCCGAAAATTCGCGTCCAATGAGTAGTCTCAGGCTTTAGAAGAACATACAGAATTTCCATGCAAAAGCTGGGTAAAAGTTACAGCATAAGCTTAATAATGTCTAAAAGTGTCGGTTGCATTTCGTGAAGTATGGCACGCACTTAAGTGCGTAATGTTTGATTATAGGTTCCAAAATTTTTCCACGAGAGTGCTATGTAGTTTTACCGATTTCGTATTTTTTAAGGATGCAATTACTGAAAACACAGAGGACTACGCTTGATTTTGCTGACAGAGACGTCGAGGAAACAAAACGTCCCATAAAGTCACACCCTGTGAGGCTGGTCAGTGACTAACAAATTCGAACAGAATTATATGATGCAATCGTTTGCATACCAATTTCTGTGTATCGAAAGAAATGTTTTTTTCAGTCGAATTACTTTTAGGCAGAGCTCTGCTGGGAGTTGTTCGCGCTCGATGTGGCAAGCTCTTCCACTTGTGGCAGGGAAATCTTTGCCCAAGTTCGTGGGCGGCTGATTGGGTAAAATGCACAACGTTTCAGGTGCGCCCACATCATCACGTTTCACGGGTTAAGACGCCTACTGTATATCGATTAGTGTTAACAAAGTTTACCTTGTGGATTCCAGTGCTGCATAATTTTTTTACAAAACTCTCAGTGACAAAGGGCATTACAGTGGGTTCAAAGAGGAAGGATGTTGAGCGCAAACTAAAAATAAACTCCGGTAGGATTTGCCACCTACGGGACACTCGGTCGGGAGTGTGTGGGCCCCGAAATTCTTATGATCAGTTGGGGGCTCTTATAAACTCTTACCAATAAGCAGGGCTCTGCTGGGAGTTGTTGGCGCTCGACGTAGCAGTCTCCGCCTAAGTTCATGAGCGGCTGATTGGGCAAGGGTTAAGTATATGCGCGGGGCAAGAAAATGCCAACTGTCGTTTGACAAATTCACCAGAATTCTAACACTCCTGCCCTACTAGCAGAGGTATCATTACATCTGCCATTATTTCGAGTATTTTTTTACTACCTGACTGCTCTCCTCGATGAACTTTTTTTTAAATTGTGCTTTTCTCTTACTAAAGAATTGAGTGTGGAGTGTGTGGAAGAATAGATCAATGTAGACATTTCAGCCCTAGCGGCTCCTCGGGGCGGTACGGGTCAGTGAATGTCATTCCGCCGACGAAGGGCTGGCAAAAAACTCTTCAGGACCACACGTTCTTTGAAAAATATAGTAGGCAGTTCCCCGAGGTTTTTTCCTTATCCTGCGCACATACTTAATCCTTCCCGCTGATGGTTTCAAGCGCACATTAAGTCTCATTTCGTTCAGACTGCCATCTAGGCCCCAAACCCAATTTCAACCTGATTGGCTGATCGAAACAAACGAGTAGAAAAATTGATGATAAGGTCTTGGCGGTCGCTATTGCTAAGCATAGACTGCTGCAAGATGAATGTCTAGCCACGGGAATATGGTCCTCCCGTATTCCAAATAGCCCGACGCTCAGTTCTAGGGGAGCCAGAGTTGAAGTTAGGACTTATTTTAGGACAAGAGTACAGGTACCCCTGAAAGTCAAAAAATTCACCTCTAGTACGTGGCGTCCATAGTTACGTGTGGTGCCTAAAGAATTTCTATGCAACCCCAAGCGAATGATACTGTTACTCCCAGTAAAAGGAGTATCGTCACCATCACTGATCTAAGATTTCTCACAGTCACGACTGGACTTTCAGCCTTCATTCCCATCCCCGCCTGCAGTGCACTGAGCTAGGTTTTCGGGACTGTTTTGGTTTACGTTTTGCTGTCCTAATTTCCTAGTTTCCCCAGACACGTCGGGAACTACAGCGAGCAGTGTAAACGACTTGTAGGGGACACTGTTTCGCAGACATGGAGAACTGCAATTCATCGTTCAATGAGAGGAGGGGGCGGAGGGGGCGGGGGAGTAGGAGGAAGAGGAGGAGGAGGAGGAGGAGGAGGGGGCGGAGGAGTAGGAGGAGCAGAAGGAAGAGGAGGGGGGAGGAAAACGTTCACTGAACTGCTGGGTTGGCAGTCCGTCAATCACTTTATACTGGTAAATGGCCCTGGACATGTCTAAAAATGAAATTTTTTGTCCAATAACGCTTCAGTTATGCAGCTTAGCCTCCCCGCACAGACATGCATGAATTTCTTTTGAAACTAATCCACGGTTTGGCCGTAAATCGCCGTCAATTCCCATAAGTTCTGAAAAAGGTTGTGTAATTATTTTGTCCCCAACGTGACCCTTTTTGCGAAACACAGGCCGATCACCTGCAGAATAGTTTGGCCGCATTAGTGCACTCCTTTTTCAAATCGGTTGCTATTTAATAAAACTTCACAAGGTATGAAGAAATATTAAGGATTGAACAAGGTGGCTGATCTGGCGCACTTTGAAACACTTTCAAGGCAGCCCTGTCATGATCGTTTTGGGAATTTCACCAAATGTGTTAGAATTAGACCCAGTAATGGCATTCCGATGAGTACAATCACATCGAGTTCGTAGACCTCCGGCAGCTCGACTCTGTATGGAACTCGATTAACCAATCACAGCACGCCTCTTTCCTACTGCGTCCTTTTGGCAATATCAGGATTGCTGATCCCATTTGAATTTGCACTCTGTTTACGGATGACAAGTAACCGCATAAACGGCCCCTCTAATCATGAGATCATTGCAAATTAACTCGTCTGTCAGGCATAGTTGTTGAGCTGTAGCTTTTCTGGCAGGTGTCAAGAAGTCACGTCTTTCAGCATACCTTGCGGTTGCAATCGGCCTTCCAATGCGATAATTGTGGTACCAAATTCTTCTAAATGCTGTGCTAAACTGCATTTAGAAGGAAAGAACTGTAGAGTAGGTGGGCTACCTCAAGAAATGTCAACCGAAATTCGAAATGCATTTTCGTTTCAAAAAGATTAATTAAGTAGGGTTGTAAAACTAGTCAGCCTGCAACATAATTCTATAATAGTTCAGTTACCTCAGGATGCCGGCTTTCGAATGAATTTCCTTCCAGCTGCATGCAAAAACCGCACTCTGTAAAAAATGACCATTTATTTAGCACGAATTTTTTTCATTTATTTTCGATGCCCCTAAAAGTCCAATTATATATCATGAAAACATACATAAAAATTTTCATTCTTTCACTTATCCCGTAGAAAATTACGTCTTTTAATTTTATACTCCAACGAGGGACATAATTCGGTCGTAAAAAAGTTTCTAATTGTGAGCCTTTTAAATAGCGTGAAATGTCCGTTCATCAATCGTCATGTCTCTGCACTTGCCAGTGTTTACTGTAAGGTTAACAATGCAAAGCAAATCCACTGCTAAATTTTATGAACCCGATTTGGTTTTCTCCTAATGCCTTGGCGAAATGTATGGTTTTCCGTAATTGTAAAGCATATGAGTTGTAGTTTGGAAATCCTAAATGTAAGTTAATGGCAAGTCGTGTTCAAAGTTATTCGGGAATTGGAAAAGTTTTGAAAAGCACACTATGCCATTCCTTCGAGTATATAATCAGTTTCTACCGAGTGAACAAAAGAATGTATATTTTATGCATGTTTTCCATGAAATATAATTCAATCTTTAAGGGCATCGAAAATCAACAAAAAATGCATGCTATTTAAGTAGTCATTTTTAACAGAGTATAGTTTTTGTGTGTAGCTAGAAGGAAGTTCGTTCGTAAGCCGACATCCGGAGGTAACTGAATTATTGTAGCATTATGCTGCATGTTAATTAGTTTTACAGCCCTACTTAATTACGCTTTTCGAAAGGAAAACGCATTTCCGAATTTCAGTTGGCATTTCATGAGTTAGCCCACCTAGTCTACTAGACTACAAGTTTCTTCCTCTACCAGGCAGTGAGCGGCTGACAGGGATAAAGCCCCTCCATAAGCACGCACGCAAGACGTATGTATGTTTACGTCCCCAAGTTTAAAAACAGAAGCTGGTGAATTTTAATACCGAAAGTGGTGACAGTGGTTTTACCTAAACGAATTCCCACTCTGTCACCTCAACCCGGTGGGCGGATGTTTTTATGCTGTAATAACTTGGACGTTCAGCAAAATCAGGAATTTTAATTACAGGGGCATTTAACAATGCGAGGGCGTGAGTTCAGGCCGGTGAGCACAGAGTAGGGAACCCGCAGAAGTTGTTTCCCACAGCAAGGTGAAGATGTCTGTTCGTTTTGCATGCAGGATGTGAGTAGTTTGCTCACAAACTGTACGAATATGTCCCGACCTGTGAGCTCCTCTTTAATCACCCGATCGCAGCCGACAGGATATCGAGTCCGTGGCTCAGCGGTTAGAGCTCTCGACTTCTAACCAACAGAATGCGGATTCTAGTCCGAGGAGTTGCAAACCTGGCGTTGGATATGCCCGGCTGATGATGGCTAATAAGTCAGAAATGGTTATTTCAGTTTACCTTGTCCTTGCCAGTAATGTTATTCTGCCGACCAGTGTCCTGCGACTGCCTGTGGGGCCCTGGATAGAACCTCGAGGCACAACGGGGTACAGTGCGTGACCTATCTCATGAAATGTTGGCTGAAATTCTGAAATGCGTTTTCGATTAGGAAGGATTACTT